ATATAAACATTTCTTTCCTCCAAATTGACTTGATTCCTTTCAAAACAAAAATGACAGTGTTAAGCTGCTAGTTAGATTCCTCGCACATCAGTTTCTAAGAATGGAACGCTTGAATACCTGGCCTACCAAATGTTTGAACCGCGCTGATTTATGTCATTGTTGTTTCTTTATGCAAAAAGTGTGGAAAATGTGTGTCAATTGGAGCCAGGGTTGTTAGCTTGAAAAAATGAGCTTGCGCAATTGCATTCTCAAGTCCTCGAAGGCTTCCGCACATTGTCCTTCAATCAAAACGCATTGGGTGGCTTTCAACCTTTCGAAACACAAGAAAAGAAATTTAAAACATACCCAAAAATATGGAGCAAAAGCAGCGTACAGACCTAGAAAGCAATTGCACGGCAAAGAAAAAGAGATTGCCTGGTGGGGAAATAACATCAACGTAGGTGCCAAGGCAGCCCACCTGTGGAGAGTAATTGACGAGGCATCACTCAGGAGCAGGACTCACTTGGTGCATCTCAGGTGGTGGGTTTGGTTGCCCACATCTCAAGGCACTTTCCAAAGTCTCAGGGAATTACTGTTTTTTTTTCTCTGGGTCTCCAGGCAGGGATGCAAATAGGGTTTCCAGGATTTCAAAATAGCAACGAGGGAGAGTTGATGTTTATGATGTGCGGCAGCAGGGCATGGATTTGACAATTAAGAAGCTGGAACGGTACTCTGTGATTCTAAATTGATCTCAGTGGGGTTTCCTGCTAAGTGGGATTCTTAGCACTTGGAATCAAGTGGCCTGCCTGTGTTATGCATGCAGTTCCACCCAAAGTAAATATAAATCTGCCCAAATACACATCTGCCTAATGAAATTGATTACTCAGGGATAACTGAGCCATGGCAGTGCGTGAAATGGTAACTTGACAATTTGACTACTGCAATGCACTTTATGCAGGGCTGCCCTTGAAGGCATCTTGGGGTGCATCTACACTGTCAGTTTGATTTATTTATTTCTCGCACTTCTACCCCACCCTTCTCAACCCCTGAGGGGGGACTTAGGGCGGCTTACAAAAGGCACAATTCAATGCCAGCACAACAAGATAAAAATAAAACATATATAAACAGTAATTAAAACAATTAAAACAATCCATCATACATCACAATCCCTAAGACCAATCTAGTGCTCAACTAGATTGAGTTTGCCAGCTCAGAGTCAGTAAATTCAATTCCACATTGTCAAATCCATCAATTCTAGTTGTCACTTGTCCTTTGTCTATCTGCCAGATTACCCGAAAGCCTGGTCCCAAATCCATGTTTTTAATTTCCTTCTAAAAGAGAGGAGGGATGTCGATGACCTAATTTCCCCGGGGAGTGAATTCCACAGGTGAGGGGCCACCACCGAGAAGGCCCTGCTCCTCGTCCCCACCAACCTCACTTGTGATAGAGGTGGGGCTGAGAGCAGGGCCTCCCCAGAAGATCTTAAATTCCGAGGCGGGACATAGAATGAGATGCGTTCAGACAGATACGCTGGGCTGGAACCATATAGGGTTTTGTAGGTCAAAACCAGCACTCTGAATTGTGCTCGGAACTGGATCAGCAGCTAGTGGAGCTGACATAACAGATGCAGCTTGATCCCACTTTAACAGCCATGGCGCAATGCTAAAGCATTGTGGGAATTGCAGTTTTACAATGACTTTAGCCTCTTTTTTTTTGCCAAAAAGTGCTGGTACCTCACCAGACTACAACTCCCAGGATTCCATACCATTGAGTTGTGGCAGTTAAAGTGGAGCCAAATTGCATTAATTTTACAGTGTAGGCGTGGAGCCCCCTGTGCTGGCAGGACTGAAGACCAACAGGTTGCAGGTTCGAATCCAGGGAGAGGCAGATGAGCTCCCTCTATCAGCTCCAGCTCCTTATGCGGGGACATAAGAGAAGCCTCCCACAAGGATGATAAAACATCAAATCATCTGGGCGTCCCCTGGGCAACGTCCTTGCAGATGGCCAATTCTCTCACACCAGAAGTGACTTGCAGTTTCTCAGGTTGCTCCTGACATGACATACAGTCTTGGAAACTGCTATGGCACAGTCATAAAAATGCTACAAATAGACTGATATCGGGAACATTGCATAAAACCCATATAGGCTGTTAAGAACTGCAAGAGTTGAAGTCCAAAACACCTGGAGTGCTGAGGTTTGCTCATGCCTGCTTTAAAGGAATTGCACTGGCTGCCAATACATTTCCAAACTGGCTTCAAGATGCTGCTAATGAGATTTCAAGCCTTAAATGGCTTGACATGTTAGTTCTTGAAATAGTGCCTCTGTATAAAGTCCTACCCAAAATTTAAGTTCCCTTGGGGTACCCTCCCTTATGCCTGATCATTCAAAATGACATTCAAAGCAAAGACATGGAGCAGGGCCTTTTCTGCTGTGGCACCCCAGTTATGGAAAATCTTCCCTTTGGAGGCTCAATTGGCACCAACATTGCTTCCATTTAGCATCAACTGGAAGAGTGCATGGTCCAGCTGAAGCTGATTATAGAGCAGTGGTTCCCAACCTTTTTTGACCAGAGACCACTTTGAGCAGGGACCACTTTCACCAGGGACCACTTGACCAGGAGTCCTGATTTGCCCCTCAAAAACAGCCTTAATGCCACATTGAAAGTAAATGAAAAATGCTTTATTTCAGCAAAACATAAGAGAACAGCACACACAGTTGCATAATGCAAAAGAAAGCAAAGAAGTCTTAATGCAGACACAATACTCAAGTCTCTGATAAAGCCCAAAATAAAACAGCAGTCTCACCTCAGACGAAGAACAACGTGCATTGATCAATAAATCCTTAGAAGCAGTTTCTCAAACGCAGACTTGAAGCAGGTACAAATGGGAGCGAAGGCATAAGCATCAGGGTTGTTTGTTACCAGCAAAAATTGCTTCTGATTTATAGCCCTGAGTTCCCCATGAAGGAGGTGCTAGGGCAGTTCCCAATTACTTTGGCGTTTCTAGCAGCTTTTCTAGCTGAATGGCGTCTCTGCTCTGTTTCCTTTCGCCTTTCCAGAAATGTGGGCACTTGCAAAACCTCATCCCCTGATTCTTACTCCCCTTCTGATTCCTGAACACTTTCCTGCTCCAATTCCTCTTCTGAAGATGAGGAATCCCTAATACCAGGGACCACTTTGACCAGGGACCACTCTCCAAGATTAGTACCCAATGGGTTATGAATCAGTTTTTGGTCAACTTTAGATTCACTTTGGCTATTTGGGGTGCTGACTCAGAAAATTACATTGGATAGACCACATCAGCCCTAGTTTCTGATACAGAACATATGCCATCCAGTTGTCACCATCTGCTCGTCCACAGAAAACCGCATTTAATTAGCCTTGGCACTATAAAAAGGTTTCACGAGACCAACTGCTCTCGTTGCAGTGGTGTAATAATGGTGAGTTCATGGACCATGTTTTAGTTCTTGTGGACCACTGGTGGTCCATGTACCACGGGGTTGGGAATCAGTGCTACAGAGTCACCCAGGAAGATATAGAGATTTTTGTTGCTGATCTCTCAGGTAAAAATAGTGCTATAGTCAAAGGCTTTCATGGCCGGAATCACTGGGTTGTTGTATGTTTTTTGGGCTATATGGCCATAGTCTAGAGGCATTCTCTCCTGATGTTTCGCCTGCATCCTCAGAGGTAGTAGGTCTGTTGGAACTGGGAAAATGGGTTTATATATCCGTGGAAAGACCAGGGTGGGACAAAGGACTCTTGTCTACTGGAGCTAGGTGTGAATGTTTCAACTGACCACCTTGATTAGCATTTGATAGCCTAGCAGTGCCTGGAGCAATCTTTTGTTGAGAGGTGATTAGATGTCCACCGAACGCAGCACCCAAACACGAATCAAGGAACATGAAAGGCACTGCAGACTACTTCAACCAGAGAAATCAGCCATAGCAGAGCACCTGATGAACCAACCTGGACACAACATTTTATTTGAGAACACAGAAATGCTGGACCACTCTCACAACCACCATGTCAGACTACACAGAGAAGCCACTGAAATCCACAAGCATGTGGACAATTTCAACAGAAAGGAGGAAACCATGAAAATTAACAAAATCTGGCTACCAGTATTAAAAAACTCTAAAATTACAACAGCACAACAACAGAGAGGAAACGAACAAGGACATCTAATCACCTCTCAACAAAAGTTTGCTCCAGGCACTGTCAGGCCATTATATGCTAATCAAGGTGGTCAGTTGAAACATTCACACCTAGCTCCAGCAGACAAGAGTCCTTTGTCCCACCCTGGTCATTCCACAGATATATAAACCCCTTTTCCTAGTTCCAACAGACCTCACTACCTCTGAGGATGCTTGCCATAGATGCAGGCGAAACGTCAGGAGAGAATGCCTCTAGACCATGGCCATATAGCCCGAAAAAACCCACAACAGCCCCAAAATAGTGCTTTTTTATATTCAGTTTTTCTGATGTTTCTTGGGGACCTGTACCTTTAACCCAACATGTGGAAGTGATATTGTTTTGCATTCAACAATTCTAAGTCATTCGTCAGTGAACAACTAGAAGGCTCTTCCCGTTGTCCTCACTTGGACGTTCCTTCCTATGTTGATGGTGGTACTGAGAGAAAGCATTCTCCTGAAGATCTTAAAACTCAACCAAGCTCCTATTGGGAGGAATGGCCTTTCAGATTTTTCTCCAACCAAGCTGCAGTGTATATGGCTTTATAAGTCATAAGCAGCACTTTGAATTGTGCCTGGAGATGCAATTATTCTGAGCCTTCAGTAGAGATGCACCGAGGTGTGGAAAGCAGTGCTTGAGGTTTGCATGCGTAACCACTCTAGTGAAGGTCTTTAGATCTTTCTGTGACTCTTTTCAATTTGCTCTCATTCAGGGGGAAAGGACAATGGAGGATTCCAGTGGTTGGTTGAAAAATAGTGGCCCTGACCCATCAAAAGGCAACAAGAACTAGTTAGGAGGAGTTCTAACATCCAATTGTTGTCTGTTTTTTCAGGCATGAAAGAAGCGGTGGTGGTCCAGCCACAGCATTTTATCTCAGTCCTAGTCGGAGAATCTCTCAAACTGGAATGCCAGGTGACCGGTGATACACCAGGAGCTGTGAAGTGGTTTTTAGGAAATGGTCCTGATCGGAAACTTATCTATATAGACAAGCTCCATGACCAATTTAAGAGAGTTACACGTCACAAAGAAAGTTCTGGCACAGATTTCACCATCACCCTCCATAATGCCACTCTTGAAGATACTGGGACCTATTACTGTGTGAAGCAGAAGAAAGAAGCTCGCAAAGATGACACAGACTTGAAAAGTGGGGAAGGAACTCAGGTGGTTGTGACAGGTAAGTGGCAGGAGCTAGGGCAAAATTGGCTTCCTTTGTAGTCTTTTCTTTGGCTGTTTCAGACCATCAGGTGTCTTGGACTACAAACCCATCACACTCTGCCATTGGGCATACTTGCTGGAGATAATGGAGTTATCTGGGAATGGGTAACCTGATTTGGGAAAATAGATCTAGAGATGATGAGCAGTAGTACTGTTAGAGAAGCAGCAGTGGGGTAAAAATAATAGAATCAGAACATTGGAAGAGACCACAAGGACCATCCAGTCCAACCCTCTTCCACCATGCAAGAACACACAGCCTCTGCTTTAAAACTTCCAGAGAGGAAACCCCACCATACTTTGAGGAAACATATTCCACTATTGAATAGCTCTTACCACCAAAAAGTTATTCCTAATGTTTAGGACCTGGAATAGTGCTCAAACTCATTCTGGTTCCAGATTTTTCAGACACCACAAATGTGGGTTTTTATGTACATTCACACAACAGTCATAGAATCATAGAATCAAAGAGTTGGAAGAGACCTCATGGGCCATCCAGTCCAACCCCATTCTGCCGAGAAGCAGGAATATTGCATTCAAATCACCCCTGACAGATGGCCATCCAGCCTCTGTTTAAAAGCTTCCAAAGAAGGAGCCTCCACCACACTCCAGGGCAGAGAGTTCCACTGCTGAACGGCTCTCACAGTCAGGAAGTTCTTCCTCATGTTCAGATGGAATCTCCTACCTGTCCGAATGTATTCTCCCCTATCAACGATCAAGACAGGTAAGATCTTCTCATGGGGCCCTGCTCTTGGTGCCAACTTTCTAGTCCCAGCTTCACACTCATCCATGTTCAGTACCTGTTCTTTTTCTAATTCATAGGCCTATAAAAATTGGCCTCCTGGACCACTGAGAGCCACCAAGGTATAGTCCAGACATGAGCAAACTTCAGTTCTCCAGGTTTTTTGGATGTCAACTCCCACAATTCCTAACAACTAGTAGGCTGTTAAGAATTGTGGGAGTTGAGGTTCAAAATACCTGGAGGGCCGAAGTTTGCTCAGGCCTAAGGTAGTGTTTTGGATCTTGGGTGAGAACTGGAGAGACCAAGGTTTAAATCTCATACTTGCCAAATGTATCGGTATGCCAGGGACAGTCCTGATTTATACTCTGTTTCCCCAACTTTTAACCTGCTTTTAAAACTATACAATTTGCCTCTCCTCTTTCCACTTCTTCCCTTTGTCCTCAATCTACTTCAATTGCTGCCAACACAATTCAAGGTTCAGCAGTTTTGTTGTTCTTGTTAACTTCCATAAGACTTTGACTTATGGTGACCCCATGAATGAGAGACCTTCAAGTCACCCTTTCTTTCTTCAGAAGTCCTGCTCAGGTCCTGCAGACTCAAGGGCACCATGGCATTCTTGGTTGTTCATCCTTCTGGAATATGGTCTTTCTCTTTTCTGACTGTCTTCTACCTCACTAAGCATGATTATCTTTTCTAGTGAGTCATCTCTTCTCGTGGCCTTCATCTTGGCCTCTTATTCAACATATATATGAAGCCGTTGGGGGAGATCATCCAGAGTTTTGGGGTACGGTGTCATCTGTACGCAGATGATGTCCAACTCTGTCACTCCTTCCCACCTGCTACTAAGGAGGCTGTTCAAGCCCTGGACCGGTGCTTGGCCGCTATAATGGACTGGATGAGGGTGAACAAATTGAAACTAAATCCAGACAAGACAGAGGAGGTACTCCTGGTCAGTCGTAAGGCCGAACAGGGTACAAGGTTACAGCCTGTGCTTGACGGGGTTACACTCCCCCTGAAAGTGCAGGTTCGCAGCTTGGGAATGATCCGGGACTCATCGCTGAGCCTGGAGCCCCAGGTCTTGGCAGTCGCCGGGAGAGCTTTTGCACAGTTAAAGCTTGTGCACCAGCTGCGCCCGTACCTTGGGACGTCTGACTTGGCCACAGTGGTCCATGCTCTGGTTACATCCCGTATTGACTACTGCAACGCTCTCTACTTGGGGTTGCCTCTGAAGACTGCCCAGAAACTGCAATTAGTCCAATATTCGGCAGCCAGATTACTAACAGGAGCAGGGTACAGGGAGCGTACAACTCCCTTGTTACGCCAGCTCCACTGGCTGCCAATTAGCTTCCGAGCACAATTCAAAGTGCTGGTTTTAACCTACAAAACCCTATACGGTTCTGGCCCGGTTTACCTGTCCGAATGTATTCTCCCCTATGAACCATCAAGACAATTAAGATGTTCTGGTGGGGCCCTGCTCTCAGTCCCGCCACTTTCGCAATCGCATCTGGCAGGAACGAGAGTCAGGGCCTTTTCTGTGGTGGCTCCTCGACTGGAACTCTCTCCCAATTGAGATCAGATCTCCCTCCTATCCTTCAAGAGGCTGGTAAAATCCTGGCTATGGAAGGAAGCATTCCCAGAGTAATGGGTGAAACCGGCTACAGAACAGAGTTACCGACCACACATACGGTCTGAGTTGGACATGATTTTATCTTGGCGATTTGGCTTATTTGTAATTTTAGTCTATACTAGCTGTCCCCTGCCACGTGTTGCTGTGGCCCAGTCTGTTGATCTGGAAAATAGAGTAATGAGGAAGTGTTGGTTTCTGATATATGTAATTTCTTTATGCTTATGGGTAAACAGTATTTCTTGCTGTTTCTTTGTCAGTATTGATGTGGAGAGTTTCTGTTTTGCCCACCCTGGAACATGCCATATATCATTGTCCTTCTTTAAGGGTCCCTTTCAAATCTATGACACTATATCTCTCTGTGTGTGAATCATATCTATCTATCTATCATCTATCTATCTATCTATCTATCTATCTATCTATCTATCTATCTATCTATCTATCTATGGCTGGATGGCTCTTTGTCAGGAGGACTTTGATTGCGTTTTCTTGCCCTGGCGAAGGGAGTTGGATTGGATGGCCTTAAGTATTTTCTGATTGTCATGGGGTGGGAAGTTTGCCCCGATTATGTCATTCGTGGGGTTCAGAATGCTCTTTGATTGTAGGTGAACTGTGAATCCCAGTGACTACAACTCCCAAATGTCAAGGTCTATTTCCCCCAAACTCCATCTTTGTTCATATTTGGGCGTATTGAGTGCTTGTGCCAAGTTTGGTCCAGATCCACCATTGTTTGAGTCCACAATGTTCTCTGGATGTAGGTGAACTACAACTCCCAAACTCAAGGTCAATGCCCACCAAACCCTTCCAGTATTTTCTGTTGGTCATGGGAGTTCTGTGTGCCAAGTTTGGTTCAATTCCATAGTTGGTGGAGTTCAGAATGCTCTTTGATTGTAGGTGAACTATAAATGCCAGCAACTACAACTCCCAAATGACAAAATCATAATTTTTTGAGTGATGGTCACTACTTGTGTTGTGAGACGTTTTGTTGCCAAATTTGGTGTGATTTCATTCATTGGTTCTTTTGTTTTTAAGGTACTTATTATGCACAGAACATTTTTTTATATATAGATGTATTTTAACTTGTTATTATATGATGTTTTTAGATTGTACTATTAGCATTGAATCCTTGCTGTAAGCTGGTCTGAGTCCCTCTACGGAGGTTGAGAAGATTGGGATATAAAAGTTTTAAATAAATAAATAAATAAATAAATAGGGAGGTTCAGATTTGATTAGCTCTAGAACCCATTTAATGGATTTTCTAGTACCCCATTGTATCCTCACAACTCTTCTCCAGCATCACATCTCAAATGAATTTATTTCCTTCCTATGAGCTTTCTTCTGTTCAGTTGTCACAACCATACAATAAAATTGGAAAATATGAAGGCATGGACCATACCAACTTTGATATTCAATTATATGTCGTGACACTTCAGGAACTTGTCTAGTTCCTTCATAGTTCCTTCCAACTCCTTGTCTTCCAACTTCTTACTGTGATCATCAATGAGAACAAGGCATGGAAAATGTTCAACCATCACCTACTTTTAAATTATGTAGATCACTTGAAGATGTTATTTTTGCTTTTGTAATGTTCAGCTCTATCTTTGCTTTTGCATTTTCTCCCTTGACTTTCTCCAGTAATCGTTCCACATCTTTGCTATTTTCTGCCAGTAGAATGATGGTTAAATTGTTGATGTTCCAATTTTCACGTCTTCTTCCTCTGATTCTAATCTTGTCTTACGCATAATATTTTCAGCCTACAAGTTAAATATATATAGTGTGATAAATGCAACCAAACTCTGAAATTGCTTAGCCTTACATTTATAGTTTTCATCTGTTCTGGCCTTGAAACCCACTGGGTGACCTTACGTAAGTCACTTTCTCTCAGCCTCTAAGGAAGGCAATAGCAGATTTTCTCTGAATAAACCTTGCAAAAAAATCAACAATCCTTGAGAGGGTTTGCTTAAGTCAGAGTTGACCTGAGGACACACATGAACAACACAATCTGGCCCATTACACCATCGTTAGTATCATTACTCTGCAGTACATCCAGAAGAATGGTAAGTCCATGCAAACATTCCTAGCTATGGTGATGGGACATTTCAGTATGAAAGATCAATATGATCTTTGGATCTTGGGGCCCTTCCACATAGTTATGGCAAGGTGATTCCACTTTAAATTTCAGGAAAGCTGGGATTTTCAGTTCTGGAAGGCAGACTTGGAACTCTCAGTGAGAGCTCTAGTGCCTCTCCAAAGGCACTACAAGATACTGTCGAAGACTTTCATGGCTGGAATCACTAGGTTGTTGTAGGTTTTTTCAGGCTATATGGCCATGTTCTAGAGGCATTCTCTCCTGATGTTTCACCTGCATCTATGGCAAGCATCCTCAGAGGTAGTGAGGTCTGTTGGAACTAGGAAAATGGGTTTATATATCTGTGGAATGACCAGGGTGAGACAAAGGACTCTTGTCTGCTGGAGCTAGGGGGGAATGTTTCAACTGACCACCTTGATTAGCATTTGATGGCCTGGCAGTGCCTAGAGCAATCTTTTGTTGAGAGGTGATTAGATGTCCCTGATTGTTTCCTCTCTGTTGTTTTGCTTCCCTGGAGACTAGGATGCAATGGAACAATAGCTTCAAACTACAAGAAAGGAGATTCCATCTGAACATGAGGAAGAACTTCCTGACTGTGAGAGCCGTTCAGCAGTGGAACTCTCTGCCCTCGGAGTGTGGTGGAGGCTCCTTCTTTGGAAACAGCATATTATTTGAGAACACAGAAATGCTGGACCACTCTAACAACCACCATGTCAGACTACACAGAGAAGCCATTGAAATCCACAAGAATGTGGACAATTTCAACAGAAAGGAGGAAACCATGAAAATGAACAAAATCTGGCTACCAGTATTAAAAAACTCTAAAATTACAACAGCACAACAACAGAGAGGAAACAAACAAGGACATCTAATCACCTCTCAACAAAAGTTTGCTCCAGGCACTGTCAGGCCATTATATGCTAATCAAGGTGGTCAGTTGAAACATTCACACCTAGCTCCAGCAGACAAGAGTCCTTTGTCTCCCCTGGTCATTCCACAGATATATAAACCCTTTTTCCTAGTTCCAACAGACCTCACTACCTCTGAGGATGCTTGCCATAGATGCAGGCGAAACGTCAGGAGAGAATGCCTCTAGACCATGGCCATATAGCCCGAAAAACCCTACAACAACCCAGTGATTCCCGTCATTCCACAGATATATAAACCCTTTTTCCTAGTTCCAATAGACCTCACTACCTCTGAGGATGTTTGCCATAGATGCAGGTGAAATGTCAGGAGAGAATGCCTCTAGACCATGTCCATATAGCCCGAAAAAATGTATAACGCACTACAAGATTCCAGAGATTCAACAAGGAGAGCTAAAGTGAAATTATAAGGTGCATCTAAACTGTAGAATTAATGCAGTTTGCCACCATTTAACACAACAGAATCATAGGAGTTGTAGTTTTCCAGATCTTTAGTTTTCTCAGCCAAAAAGTGCTGGCGCCTCACCAAACGGCAGGTCCCAGAATTCCATAGCAATAAACCATGGCAGTTGAAGTAGTGTTTAATTACATTAATTTAAGTGTAGATCAGGCCTGCACAACCTGCAGCCCTCCAGATGTTTGGGCCGCCAACTTCCAGAAGTCCTAGTCAGCTTGTCCAATGGCTAAGATTTCTGGGAATCAAAGTCTGAAACACTTGAAGGGCCACAAGTTGTGCAGGTGTGATGTAGAGGCTGCCACAGTGGTGCAATTGTGTAGTATGAAAGCAAATGTGCCACTGTACCAGGTGGCAACACCAGGCCGGACTGTAATGAGGTCAGAGCCTGAAAATGCAAAACACATTAATTGATCATTGAGCAGCGGCAGCGCTAACGCAGTCACAGTTGTGCTAATACATTACTTAATCATGGGTGAATTGATAAGGAGAATTAATTGGCAGACATTAAAATGTGAAGAGACATTTTGGGAAGTAATTCATGGCAACAATTGTTCCCCACCAAATTAAAAAGTATAATTATAAATCACGAAAAATGACCTTGTAAGGCTCTCCTCCATTTCAACTGTGTGGGTGGAATGTAATCCTCTCCCTGAGCAGAGTGCCTTGAAGTCACAGGATTGGATGGAGTCCCATGTAAACCACATTGAACTGGATGATATGGCAGTATAGACTCTTACAATGATTTTGTCGAAGGCTTTCGTGGCCGGAATCACTGGGTTGTTGTAGGTTTTTTCAACCAGAGAAATCAGCCATAGCAGAGCACCTGATGAACCAACCTGGACACAGCATTTTATTTGAAAACACAGAAATGCTGGACCACTCTCACAACCACCATGTCAGACTACACAGAGAAGCCATTGAAATCCACAAGCATGTGGACAATTTCAACAGAAAGGAAGAAACCATGAAGATGAACAAAATCTGGCTACCAGTATTAAAAAACTCTAAAATTGCAACAGCACAACAACTGAGAGGAAACAAACAAGGACATCTCAGCACCTCTCAACAAAAGTTGGCTCCAGGCACTGTCAGGCCATTATATGCTAATCAAGGCGGTCAGTTGAAACATTCACGCCTAACTCCAGCAGACAAGAGTCCTTTGTCCCACCCTGGTCATTCCACAGATATATAAATCCCTTTTCCTAGTTCCAACAGACCTCACTACCTCTGAGGATGCTTGCCATATATGCAGGCAAAATGTCAGGAGAGAATGCCTCTAGACCATGGCCATACAGCCAAAAAACCCTACAACAACCCAATAAGAAGTCAATTTTATATTGAGGGTTCAATGCAGTACAAAGGACTGCATTGATGAACCTATGAACATCTGAGTGTGCAAGGCCTTTTGCAAGGATTGTTCTGAAGAGATCCTAAGTTCTGACAAATAATGTCATGAGCAAGCTGATCTTGCTGTTTGTTAACAAATAAAGCACTGATTGAAATGTTATAAGACTTTGGAACAAATGGTTAGATTGCTGGAACACAGAAACCTGCTGGAAGACCTAGCAATAGGAATCTCTAGGTCCTCCAACACAACTTGATAGTATGCTGGCATTGGAAGCCAGATAATTAAATGGCATTCAATTGTATCTGCAGTCTGGTCAGGAACCAACTCTTGTGGATATAAGTATTCACATATCTTGTGGATTTGTTGATATATACATATCTGAGCAGCCAGTGTAAAATTTTGCAAATGTTAACACTGCACACAGTGGAGTTTTCAAGTCCAGGTGGCCGTCCATACCCACAAATTTTGCATTCATAGATTCAACCATCCATGGCTTGAAAATATGGACCTCTCCCACCCACCCCCCAACCCCCGGCCAAAAAAAAAAAAAAAGGAAATGTTGATAAGAGACAACATTTGAGAGGACAGGAGCAGGATTCAAAACGATCTTGACAGATTAGAGAGATGGGCCAAAACTAACAAAATGAAGTTCAACAGGGACAATGCAAGATACTCCACTTTGGCAGGAAAAACGAAATGCAAAGATACAGAATGGGGGACGATGACGCCTGGCTTGAGAGCAGTACGTGTGAAAAAGATCTTGGAGTCCTTGTGGACAAGTTAAACATGAGCCAACAATGTGATGTGGTGGCAAAAAAGCCAGTGGGATTTTGGCCTGCATCAAGAGGAGCATAGTGTCTAGATCTAAGGAAGTCATGCTCCCCATGCTCTATTCTGCTTGGTTAGACCACACCTGGAATATTGTGTCCAATTCTGGGCACCACAATTCAAGAGAGATATTGACAAGCTGGAATGTGTCCAGAGGAGGGTGACTAAAATGATCAAGGGTCTGGAGAACAAGCCCTATGAGGAGCGGCTTAAGGAGCTGGGCATGTTTAGCCTGAAGAAGGGAAGGCTGAGAGGAGATATGATAGCCATGTATAAATATGTGAGAGGAAGCCACAGGGAGGAGGGAGCAAGCTTGTTTTCTGCTTCCCTGGAGACTAGGACCGGAACAATGGCTTCAAACTACAAGAGAGGAGATTCCATCTGAACATGAGGAAGAACTTCCTGACTGTGAGAGCCGTTCAGCAGTGGAACTCTCTGCCCCGGAGTGTGGTGGAGGCTCCTTCTTTGGAAGCTTTTTAACAGAGGCTGGATGGCCATCTGTCAGGGGTGATTTGAATGCAATATTCCTGCTTCTTGGCAGAATGGGGTTGGACTGGATGGCCCAGGAGGTCTCTTCCAACTCTAGGATTCTATGATTCTATGAGAGTTCTATATAATAGGACGGCAGTGTCCATGAATGTTGGTATCCACAGTGGATCCTTGAAACAAACCCCAGTGGATACCAAAATCCAAAAATCCCCAGATGGGTCTTAGCTTTTGACAGAACACATCCCATGCAAGCAGAAAGTGCTGTGTTTGATCATTAGTACTCCTAGTTAAAAACAAAAGAGATAACAGATGTTGGAAAAGACCCTGGATGGTTCCTGTCATCCAAGAACAAAGCTTAGAAAAGAGACTTTTAGGATTGGCAGTTCCCAGATTGCAGTTTAGCAATATATGAGCGGAGAAGGGGATTCTGGGAGTTGTATTTCAGCATATGAAAACATTTGAATGACCAGATCAGATATTCTGCCTGATGTTGCTGTGCTTATCTCTAGCTTTCAAGAGTGACCGCTATATCATCCCAACAGTTGTTTGTATCCTCCTTGCTGTCTTGCTTGCTGCGGCCATTTACTTGTACATAAGGAAGAAAAGAGGTAAGTGGCTGAGGATTTCAGAGTCTACAATACATGTAGATGTGGAAAAAGGGCAATGTAGGTTCCAATACCTCCTAGGGATATTTTGTTTTTCGTGTCAGGAGCGACTTGAGAAACTGCAAGTCGCTTCTGGTGTGAGAGAATTGGCTGTCTGCAAGGAACTGGCAGAACTGGTGGAAGCTAGGACTGACAGTTGGGAGCTCACCCTGACTTGTGGCTTTGAACTGCTAACCCTCCTGTCAGCAGCTTTTCCTGCAGCTAGTGATTTTAACTGCTGTGCTACTGCAACCATTTCATGGTCAGAATGACTGGTTTGCTGTGAGTTTTTTGGTCTGTATGGCCATATTGCAGAAGCGTTTTATCCTAACGTTTTGCCTGCATCTGTAGCTGGCATCTTCAGAGATTCTGTTGACAGTGAGGCAAGTGGAGTGTATATATACCAGGTAGATGCCATAAACAAAGGCAGGTGAAATATTAGGAGAGAATGCTGCTGAATTGTGGTCGAACAGCCCAAAAAGCTCACAGCAACATACTCGATTGTAGGATGATGATGGTTCAAATTTCGCTCAGCCTAATTGTCCTCAAAGGTTAAAATTCAGACCAGGAAGAGGCATATTCTTTGGTAGTTGGTGGTCCTCCATGTCACTAAGATGGTGAGTCCACACTGGGTTTCAAGGGGTCCTCAAGAGGCAGAGGTCTATCCCCAAAGTAGCTTCAGCACCTTGGAGAGTTCCTTTATTTATGTACTAGCTTGGGGACCCGGTGCTGCCCGGGTTATTTGAGAAAGGAATTATGTATCAAGGTTGGTCTTTATCAGTTATTTATATGGCTCGCAGTGGTCTCAGGAAATTAGTGAAGGTACTGCGAGTCCCATCATCTGTGGTCCATCCTCCTTCAAACTGCACCAGGATGGAAAGTGGGTCATGGGGGCTCTGTGTGCTAAGTTTGGTATGGATCAGTCATTGCATGAGGGTCACAGCGGTCTCAGAAAGTGAGTTAAGGTACTGCAAGTCCCATCATCCATAGTCTCCCTCAAACATCACCAGAATGTTGAGTTGGCCATGGGGGCTCTCTGTGCCAAGTTTGGTCTTTATTGGTATTTGGATGAGTGTCACTGTGGTTTCAGGAAGTGAGTGAAGGTACTGCAAGTCCCATCATCCATTGTCCATCCTCTGCACCAGGATGGAGAGTGGGTCATGGGGGCTCTGTGTGCCAAGTTTGGACTTGATTGGTCATTAGATGACTGTTGCAGAAGTCCATCCTTCTCACCTCACAGGGAACTCTATACACATATACATTTAGACATACAACATATTTATTATTTATTATTTATTTACTATATTTGTATACCACCTTTCTCAGCTTTCAAGCAACTCAGGGCGGCTTTTTCAATAGGGCATGCGTTCTGGCCACAGGGAGAGCTGCCGCTTCACCATCCACGTGACATTGAGTCCTTCATGGAGTGCTTCCTCATTCTTACTCACTCTGCTGGAAGGTTTTACGGTCGTTAATTAATTAAATTACCCTCCCCACATAAAGTGGTACCTGAAATTTCCTACTTGACAGATGCAACTGTCTTTCAGGCTGCATAGGTCGACAGCAAGCTAGACTACTAATGGTCGGGAGCTTACTACTTTAGAGTTTCAGCCAAAACCAGAGGAGATTCCTTACCATGGAATTCACTAGCTTCTATTACCTTGGATGACGTTCTCGTTTTAGTGTCTAAACCAGCCTTATAGGTATTTTACACTGTAGAGCAGGCTTGGGCCAACTTGGACCCTCCAGGTGTTTTGGACTCCGACTCCCACAATGCCTAACAGCCTACCGGCTGTTAGGCATTGTGGAAGTTGAAGTCCAAAACACCTGGAGGGCCCAAGTTGGCCCAAGCCTGCTGTAGAGTGAATGCAGCTTGACTCCAATTTAACCGCAGTTGCTCAATGCTATGGAATCCTGGAAACTGTTGTTTTGCCAGGTCTTTAACCTGCTCTCCCAAAGAGTGATGGTGCCTCACCAAACTACATCTCCCACACTTCTATAGCATTGAGCCATGCCAGTTGAAGTGGTGCCACTCTGCAGTGTAAACGCATCCTTTGAGTACAACCTGACCTCCTGTCGGGAGGCTGGGCTGCTGCAGCTGCCTTTATTTCCTTGGGTGAAAGAAGGGATTTAAATGCAATAAATACCTTCAAATTAAATTTCAAATGCTCTGTAATTAATCCTGCCCTCTCTTCTCCTGTGTGTGTGTGTGTATCTAGGTTGGAACAGTGGCACCTCAAGGTCTGTCTGAATTATATACCCTTTAATTAACTTTTCCTCTTATTCGGAGGGAGGCGTCGCGGACATTTGGGGAGCCGCAGTAATTTGGCAAACCGGTGGCCCTATGGCAGCTTGGATCCAGAGAATATGACACCAGCAGTTTTATGCAAACAGCTCAGCCGGGTCCCCTTCTCATTTTATGTTTCCCGAACAGCGTCCGCTTGGCCTGCATGCCAAATTACTTTTGAATCGGAGAGGAGTTTACAGGATAGTCTCTGATATTCCAGCTGATAGTTTTCCTCTCTGTAAAGCAGTAGTTCTCAACCTTACTAATGCCGTGACCCCTTAATACAGTTCCTCGTGTTGTGGTGACCCCCAACCCTTAAAGTATTTTCATTTCTATTTCATAACGGTAATTTTGCTACTGTTATGAATCATAATGCAAACATCTGATATGCAGGATGCATTTTCATTCACTGGACTAAGTTCGGCACAGATACCCAATACACCAAAATTTGAATATTGGTGGGGTTGAGGGGGAATTGATTTTGTCATTTGGGAGTTGTAGTTGCTGGGATTTATAGTTCACCTGCAATCAAAGAGCATTCTGAACTCCACCAACAATGGAATTGAACCAAACTTGGCACACAGTACTCCCATGACCAACAGAAAATCCTGAAAGGGGTTGGTGGGCATTGACCTTGAGTTTTGGAGTTTATTTACCATATTTATTTATTTACCATATTTATATGCCGCCCCTCTCAGGAGTTGTAGTTGCTGGGATTTATAGTTCACCTGCAATCAAAGACTATTCTGAACTCCACCAATGATGGAATTGAACCAAACTTGGCACACAGAACTCCCATGGCCAACAGAAAATACTGGAAGGGTTTGGTGGGCATTGACCTTGAGTTTGGGAGTTGTAGTTCACCTACATCCAGAGGCACTGTGGACTCAAACAATGATAAGTCTGGACCAAATTTGGCACAAATACTCAGTATGCCCAAATGTGAACACTGGTGGATTTGGGGGAAAATACACATTGGCATTTAGGAGTTGTAATTGCTGGGATGTATAAATCACCTACAATCAAAGAGCATTCTGAACCCCACCAACAATAGGATTGGGCCAAACTTCCCACACAGAACCCCCGTGCCTTGAAGGAACATGCTGGGAAAGCCTCCCTCCAGCCTCACATGCGCTCATAGAATAGAATCATAGAATCATAGAATCAAAGAATTGGAAGAGACCTCATGGGCCATCCAGTCCAACCCCATTCTCAAGAAGCAGGAATATTGCATTCAAAGCACCCCTGACAGATGGCCATCCAGCCTCTGTTTAAAAGCTTCCAAAGAAGGAGCCTCCACCACACTCCGGGGCAGAGAGTCCACTGCTGAACAGCTCTCACAGTCAGGAAGTTCTTCCTCATGTTCAGATGGAATCTCCTCTCTTGTAGTTTGAAGCCATTGTTCCGCGTCCTAGTCTGCAAGGAAGCAGAAAACAAGCTTGCTCCCTCCTCCCTGTGGCTTCCTCTCACATATTTATACATGGCTATCATATCTCCTCTCAGCCTTCTCTTCTTCAGGCTAAACATGTCCAGCTCCTTAAGCCGCTCCTCATAGGGCTTGTTCTCCAGACCCTTGATCATTTTAGTCACCCTCCTCTGGACACATTCCAGTTTGTCAATATCTCTCTTGAATTGTGGTGCCCAGAATTGGACACAATATTCCAGGTGTGGTCTAACCAAAGCGGAATAGAGGGGTAGCATTACTTCCCGGATCTAGACACTATGCTCCTATTGATGCAGGCCAAAATCCCATTGGCTTTTTTTGCCGCCACATCACATTGTTGGCTCATGTTTAACTTGTTGTCCACGAGGACTCCAAGATCTTTTCCACACGTACTGCTCTCAAGCCAGGCATTGTCCCCCATTTTGTATCTTTGCATATTTTTTTTGCCTAAGTGGAGTATCTTGCATTTGTCCCTGTTGAACTTCATTTTGTTCGTTTTGGCCCATATCTCTAATCTGTCAAGATCTGATATGCAGGATGTATTTTCATTCACTGGACCAAGTTTGGCACAAATACCCAATACACCAAAATTTGAATACTGGTGGGGTTGTGGGAGAATTGATTTTGTCATTTGGGAGTTATAGTTCACCTAAAATAAAAGACCATTCAGAACTCCACCAACAATGGTATTGAACTGATCTTGGGACACAGAACTCCCATGACCAACAAAAAATCCTGGAAGGGTTTGTTAGGCATTGACCTTGATTTTTGGAGTTTATTTACCATATTTATATACCGCCCCTCTCAGCCCAGAGGCGGAGTTGTAGTTCACCTATATCCAGAGAGCACTGTGGACTCAAACAATGATAAATCTGGATCAAATTTGGCATGAATACCCAGTATGCCCAAATGTGAATGCTGGTGGAGTTTGGGGAAAATAGACATCGGCATTTGGGAGTTGTAATTGCTGGAATGTATAGTTCACCTACAATCAAAGAGCATTCTGAACTCCATCAATAACAGAATTGGGCCAAACTTCCCACACAGAACTCCCATGCCTTGAAGGGACTCGCTGGCAGAACCCTCCCTCCAGCTTCATATGCTCTCCCTTGCCCACAAATGCACACAACACACATGCTCTCCTCTCCCTGCTTGGAGTCTTAGAAACACCCTTCCCTTTGGCTGAGAGGCCGGCCAATAATAGCGGAGGAGGGATTTTGGTGGGTGGATTCGCATCTGATTCCAAAGGGGAAAAAAAGGACAGGGTTGTTGTAGTTTTTTTCGGACTATATGACCATGGTCTAGAGGCATTCTCTCCTGACGTTTCGCCTGCATCTATGGCAAGCATCCTCAGAGGTAGTAAGGTCAGTTGGAACTAGGAAAAAGGGGTTTATATATCTGTGGAATGACCAGGGTGTGACAAAGGACTCTTGTCTGCTGGAGCTAGGTGTGAATGTTTCAACTGACCACCTTGATTAGCATATAATGGCCTGACAGTGCCTAGAGCAAACTTTTGTTGAGAAGTGATTAGATGTCCTTGTTTGTTTCCTCTCTGTTGTGCTGTTGTAATTTTAGAGTTTTTTTAATACTGGTAGTCAGATTTTGTTCATTTTCATGGTTTCCTCCTTTCTGTTGAAATTGTCCACATGCCTCTTGTGGATTTCTGTGATGCTGCACCACTCTCACAACCACCATGTCAGACTACACAGAGAAGCCACTGAAATCCACAAGCATGTGGACAATTTCAACAGAAAGGAGGAAACCATGAAAATGAACAAAATCTGGCTACCAGTATTTAAAAAAACTCAAAAATTACAACAGCAAAACAACAGAGAGTAAACAATCAGGCACATCAAATCACTCTCAACAAAAGATTCCCCCCAGGCACTTCCAAGCCATTAAATGCTAATCAAGGTAATCAGTTGAAACATTCACACCTAGCTCCAGTAGACAAGAGTCCTTTGCCCCACCCTGCTCATTCCACAGATATATAAACCCCTTTTTCCTAGTTCCAACAGACCTCACTACCTCTGGGGATGCTTGCCATAGATCCAGGCGAAACGTCAGGAGAGAATGCCTCTAGACCATGGCCATATAGCCCGAAAAAAAAACCCCTACAACAACCCAGTGATTCCGGCCATGAAAGCCTTCGACAATACAAACTACAAGAAAGGAGATTCCATCTGAACATGAGGACGAACTTTTTGACTGTGAGAGCCGTTCATCAGTGGAACTCTCTGCCCTGGAGTGTGGTGGAGGCTCCTTCCTTGGAAGCTTTTAAACTGAGGCTGGATGGCCATCTGTCGGGGGTGATTTGAATGCAATATTCCAGCTTCTTGGCAGAATGGGGTTGGACTGGATGGCCCATGAGGTCTCTTCCAACTCTTTGATTCTATGATTCTAAGAGAAGGACAGGCGGAGTGATCTTCAGCCTTCTCTGCCAAAGGGGTTCCTAAGAACAGCAGAAATATATGTTTTCTGGTGGTCTTTGGTGACCCCTCTGAAACCCCCTCACAACCCCCTCAGGGTTTCCGACCCCCAGGTTGAGAAATGCTGTTCTATCCCATGCACATCTTCATGGACAAAGCATATGAGTGCACCAAACCATTTGCCCTTCAGGAATTGGCCCATCCATGACATTACCAGGGTCCCTCCCTTGGCCTCACATTTTGGCTCTGAGCCCTCTGGGCTGCTCCTAACCTAAAGGCAACTCTACCTGCTGTCTATTTTTATTTTTCATGCAGGACTATTGTAATGGAACGAGAATCCACCTTCACCTTTCATGCTCCTTCCCTCCCAAATATCCTTTTAGCTCCAAAGTCGGAGCAAATTGAAATATTTAATCACAGCATTGAGAGAGGGTTGCATTCTGATGGAGGGCGGAGAAAGCAATGGAGTTGAAAGGCAAGGCTAGCCTTCTCCCGCTCTCACCTCTTCCACTCATGCGGTTTCGGCAAGCTACTCTTTCAGATGATAACTCCCAGAATCCCCCAGCCAACAAAAGTCAATTTTCCATGCTCTGCTGGCTCCACTCTTCCAATCAAGTTTGGAAGTCCCTGCCGATGCATTAAAGTACAAATAGCATACGGATGGAAAATACAAATAGAAAGATCAAGGGATTCGGTCGCCGGCCTCCTGCATCATTCAGCCGCAATTTGTCTCTGCAAACAGGGGAAATAAATTATGCACAGAAGCCAAATTTATGCAAATGACAGGCTTCAGCATTCCTTGGCACAGAACGGCGGCTCCGTTGGCCAAAAAAAGACTTAGTTTTGATCTTCAGGACTTAGTCTGGCTTCTATGGAGAGATTTTTCAAATGTCCAGAGGTCTGGACATGACCAGGGAAAGGGTTTTTGATCTTTCTCTCATGCCCAAATTGCCATGGCGAACCAGTAGCGACAATGGGACCAGTAGGGCATTGGATGTGTCCTCGGTTTTAGCCTGAATATCAGAAAAGCTATCCAAGGTGCTGAACCAAATCTTCAAAATACATCCTTGGACAAACAAATAAAAGTTCAGATTAAAATCCAAAGCCTATCCTATGCTTTACAACAGCATTTCTCAATATGGGGATTGGGACCCCGGGGGGGGGGGGGTTGCAAGGGGGTGTCAGAGGGGTCACCAAAGACCATCAGAAAACACAGTACTTTCTGTTGGTCAAGGGGGTTCTGTGTGGGAAGTTTGGCCCAATTCTATCATTGGTGGGGTTCAGAATGCTCTTTGATTGTTGGTGAACCATACATCCCAGCAACTACAATTCCCAACTGTCAAGGTCTATTTCCCCTAAACTCCACCAGTGTTCTCATTTGGGCATATTGAGTATCCATGCCAACTACAACCCCCAAACGACAAAATCAACCCCCCTCAACCCTACCAGTATTCAAATGTGTGCATACTGGGTATTTGTGCCAAATTTGGTCCAGTGAATGAAAATACATCCTGCATATCGGATATTTACATTACAATTCATAACAGGAGTAAAATCACAGTTATGAAGTAGCAATGAAAAGAATGTTATGATTGGGGGTCACCACAACATGCACCACAACATGAGAAACTGTATTAAGGGGTTGCAACATTAGGAAGGTTGAGAAACACTGTGCCGTCGCGCTTGGGGGCTATTAGTCTTGATGAAGGAGGGATGGATGTGGCACTTTTCCCCCAAGGGATTGCTTCTTGCCCTCCTTTAGGAAACTGGAACTCCCAAAAACCCAAAATGCTGTAAATAGCTCAAAATAAGTTTTATTGATCACAAAGTCATTTCTTCAAAGTAATGAACTGGAAAACTTTAGAGGGGTGAAGAAAAACATACTCTACAGTCTCAATTAGTCCTGCGTCCAAGGGGTTTGAAGCTGAGAAGCCTCACCAAGTTTCCTCTTTCCTCAATGGCTGTGAATGCCGGAGCAAACCACAACCCCAGTTCAGATGGCCTATGTCTTGAAGATTCAGAATCTTCCTCTGGTGCCAAAAGAACCGGCTTGAAGGCGCCTGGGTCTCCTCAATAATTGTCCAGGACAATCTGGACATAAAGCATGAGTCCCAGGGGTAAAAAAAAATCTCAGAACTGGTGCTAAGAGGTAACTTAAATCACGGTCCTTTAGAGTCAGGTCTCTTACTCACGTCCATCTGGCAGGACCTCTGAAGGCAGAAAGAAAAGAAAATGAAGTTCTCCCCTCTTGCAGGAAGAGGTGGAGCCAAACAGTACTGATTGACAGCTACAAGCAACCAATCCATACAACTGTACATAAACATGGTAAAAGGGGCAGGATTAAGCATAATACAACAGTTTAAGTCTTACAACTAACAGTTCTATACATAGGTGGCGCCACTTGCGCCGTCACAAACACTGTGGTAGTATTATAGTTGGAAGAAACCCCAAGGGCCATACCATCAAAGCTAATTCTGCCATGCCGAAATGTACAATCCAAGCCCTCCTGACAGATGGCCATCCAACCGCTGCTTAAAAACCTGCAGAGGAGGAGACTCCACCGGACTCCCAGACAGCATATTTCAGTGTTGAATGGATATTACCATCAGTAAGTTCTTCTGAATGTTTAGGTGGAATATTTTTGAATCCATTGTTCCATGATGGCTATCATGTCTCCTCTCAGCCCTCTCTTCTCTCTTCTTCAAACTCAACTATACCTAGCTCCAGAGGCTGGGGCCCCTTCTACACTGTCAAATAAAGCAGTTCAAAGAAGATAACCTGGATTTTATATGTCAATGTAGAAGGAGCCTGGGACACAGAGCAATTGATATAAACCCAAGGAAAAGTGATTCCACCTGAATATTAAGGACATTTTGGTAATAAGTGATGTTTGTTGGAGCATGTAAAAATCAGTTGGTGAGTGTATTAACTGAAAAATGCCAAGCTCGAAGCTGATTGGTTGGGCCGAATCCAGAATCTAGCTGAGCCTGGGAGTTTTGGCAACAGTTTAAATTTTCTGTGCAGGAGTTTGCCAAGACAGTATTTTTGCTTCTTGGCTGCTGGAAGAAGATCTCTCACATTGTTGCAACTCAGAGTAAGCTTCACCTTGCTTCCAAACACCACCACAACAGGAGCTGTAGTTTTATAGTTTATTGAGGAAAAAAATCCAAGTCAAAATAAAGAATAAGCATTGTAAAGTTCCAAAGATTAAGGTTAAAAGCAGAATATAGTTCCAAAGATCTTCAGGTAAAAGCAGGAGACACAATCCTATTGGCAAAGTTCAAACCAGAGTCCCAGGTTCAAGCAATGAAACAATTGCCCCATGAATCACAATGCAAGAAATCCCAAGCGTACTGCTTTCCAAACTAAGGTTATTCCATGAAGCTTTCAGGCTAGTAAGCTACGTTGAACTGACACTTTCTCAGGGTTTGCAAGAGGCCTAAATACCTTTCTAACATGAAAACATTAGGCTCTCATCATCATAAAAGCATTGTGATGACCTTTCACCAAGCTGGCTTCTCATCTGCTGGCCAGATGAGAACTCCACCTGACCCGCAGATCAAGATGAGTTTGCCAGGTCAAGTCACTATCTACACTTTTGGTATCAGTGTGGGAAGGCACCTGCTCGCTATCTCCTTCGTTAAAATTCCTTTCTGCTGGGAATGGCTGTGTTGACACTGCACTGTCTGTGGGAGCCTCAGAAGCAGGCCCAGAGAATTGAGGTACAGACAAAGAGCCAGGAAGCTGAATCCCAGCAGGAATTTGAATCCCATCATCCTCATCATTAGAAAATAGCCCAGCCACAACACACATGGACACCTAAGGACCACTTAAATCTCTCTCAAAGGGCATTATATTAGTCAATGCAACTGTTCACATGACTGTATATCTGTTGCTCTACATAACAAAGAGTAAACAACTTATTCTTTAGTGATTATGTGCGTGGCATATATTTTCTCTTGGAAGACAGCATGTGTATTGGTAAAGACATGAACTACACATGACTTTCATTCCGTTACTGTGTTTGACAATGAGATATGTAGCTTTGGCATATGCTGGAGTCTCCTCTGGAGGTCTTTAAATGGAAGCTGGATGGCTATCTATTAGGAGGGCTTAGATTGTGTCTTTCTGCATGTCCGAAGAGGGTTGGGGTCTCTTCCAACTATGATTCTACCCTTCTACTGCTTCCCTAACAATAACTACTGATTTCCATCCAGTTCAGTCTTTCCAACCAAGTTGCCTGTTCCCAAAGGAGTTGGTCAACAACTCCCATCATCTTCAGCAATGAATGAGTATGATGGGTTTTGTAGTCCAGCACATCTGGAAAGCAAATGGTTGGGGAAACCGTGCCTAATGCTCTCCAACACTGCCATTGTGCTGTGAGATCTCTGGAGAAAGTTAATAGCAGAGGGGGAAAATATAAAAGTACATTTTTATTCACCCATTAGTCCTTTTTTATGGTGGTGGCAAGAAGGTAATGAATCCTGGCTTTTCCTGGCAGGGAATCAGGGCTGCATTGTTACAGAATTAGCCACTGAGCGAGGAGAGGGAGAAAACCGTTTCCCTGTAAACATCCCTGAATACTGTCAAAACCTACAAAAAGGATAAAATGCAAGGTATCCACCAGAGGCTTCTAATTTGTATTCTCTGTGCTTTTTTCCCTCCCAGGTCTGAAACTTCCCTTTCAGAGAGTACAAAAACTCCTAATCAGGTACGGATAAATATATTGGTATGCGCTCCCTACTTCCCTACAGATGGGGAAGACACAAAGGCCGCTTTTTGAAGGATCTGTTTTGTATGGGGAAGCAATCATTTCAAACACTGGGATATTGGCGTACGGGTTGAGTATCCCTTATCTGAAATGCTTGGGACCAGAAGGGTTTGAGATTTGGAATTTCTCATTGGGTTTTGGAACATTATTCATCTCTCCACATTTGCAGGGACGAGGGGCACAGGACTCCCATGAAAGTGAAAAATTGTGGATTGCTATGCTGTTGGCCCTGCACATTTGCAAATTTAACATTTGCAGATTTGATTATTGATTGATTTGATTAACAGCCTCTCTCTAAGAACCTAGGTCCTCCATTATAACTCAACTTATAATGTTGAGTCCAGTGAACTCATGGTCAACTTCCATGATAGAGTTTCTGCTGAAAGCTGAGCATAGAATTGCAAAGAGAGCTAAATACTTTGTAATTCTGCAGCTCCCAGGAATCTATTGCATTGAGCCACGGCTATTAAAGTGGTGTCAATCTGCATTAATTTTACAGTGGAGACACAGCCTTAACTTGGGTTGTTGTTTATTTTCCGGGCTGTATGGCCATGTTCCAGAAGCATTCTCTCCTGACGTTTCACCTGCATCTATGGCAGGCACCCCTCACAACCCCACAGCCTCTGAGGATGCCTGCCATAAATGCAGGTGTAATGTCAGGAGCGAATGCTTCTTGAACATGGTCATACAGCCTGGAAAACCCCCAAAAAGCTAAATGAGGAAAAGCTAAATGACAATATAGGAAAAAAGGGGAAGGAAGAGGGAGGGAAGGAAGGGGAAAAAGAAAGAAGGAAGGAAGGAAGGAAGGAGCATGGAAGCAAAGAGCGAAGGAAGGAAGGAAAGAGGTAGAGAAGGAAGAAAGGAGAGAAAGAGGAAAAGAAAAGGGACGGAAAGAAAGGGGCAGAGAAAGAAGGAAAGAAAAAAAAGGAAAGGAGGGAAAGAGGAAGCAAAGGAAAAAGAGAAAGAAAGGGAGAAAGAGGGAGGGAAGGAAAGACAGAAGGAAGGATGGAAGCAAAAAGCAAAGGAAGGAAGGAAAGAAGTAGAGAAGGAAAGAGAAAGAGGAAAAGAAAAAAGGGAAGGAAAGAAAGAGGTAGAGAAGGAAGGAGAGAAGGAAAGAAAAAAGAAAAGGAAGGAAAGGGAGCGAAGGAAGGAGGGAAAGAGGTGGAGAAGGAAGAAAGGAAGGAAAGAGGGAGGGAAGAGAAGACAGAAGGAAGGATGGAAGCAAAATTTGAAGGAAAGAAGGAAAGAAAGAGGCAGAGAAGGAAGAAAGGAGAGAAAGGGAAGGAAAAGGGAGGAAGGAAAGAGGTAGAGAAGGAAGGAAGGAGAGAAGGAAAGAAGAAAAGGGAAGGAGGGAATGAAAGAGGGAGCTAAGGAAGGAGGGAAAGAAGGAGAGAAAGAGGGAGGGAAGGTTGGCCACAGCAGTGCATGGCTGGTACAGCTAGTGTATGAAATAAATAAAGTCCAACTAGAGATGTGTTAGGAGCACCCGGTGGTGCAGTGGGTTAAAGCACTGAGCTGCTGAGCTTGTTGATCGAAAGGTCGCAGGTTCGATTCCAGGGAGCGGCGTGAGCTTCCGCTGTCAGCCCTAGCTTCTGCCAACCTAGCAGTTCGAAAACATGCAAATGTGAGTAGATAAATAGGTACCGCTCCGGTGGGAAGGTAACGGCACTCCATGCTGGCCACATGACCTTGGAGGTGTCTACGGACAATGCTGGCTCTTCGGCTTAGAAATGGAGATGAGCACCACACCCCAGAGTCAGACATGACTGGACTTAATGTCAGGGGACTACCTTTACCTTTAGAGATGTGTTAATAGAAATCCTCCACCCTCACTAGCTTTGGAGCCATCAGGTACAAAAGAATATATATCTACAACCATATGGGATAGGATTTTAATCTTTGCTCGGAACTCAGAGCTTTCAGAAATAGGGTGCATCTACATTATGTAGTTAATGCAATTTGAAACCATCTTAACTGCCATGGCTGAATGACATGGAAGCAGGGGAGTGTTACAGTGTAGTTACAGTGTAGTTTGGTGCTTCACCAAACCACAGATCCCAGGATTTCATAGCATTGAGCCATGGCAGTTAAAATGTTGGCAAACGGCACTATTTCCATAGTGTAGCTCAAGCATGGGCAAACTTCACCCCTCCGGGTGTTTTGGACTTTAACTCCCACAATTCCTAACAGAGATGAACTCCAAAACACATGGGGGGCCAAAGTTTGTCCATACCTGGGGTAGCTGCACCCATAGAATCACAGAATCACAGAATCAAAGAGCTGGAAGAGACCTCATGGGCCATCCAGTCCAACCCCCTGCCAAGAAGCAGGAATATTGCATTCAAAGCACCCCTGACAGATGGCCATCCAACCTCTGTTTAAAACCTTCCAAAGAAGCAGCCTCCACCACACTCCGGGGCAGAGAGTTCCACTGCTGAACGGCTCTCACAGTCAGGAAGTTCTTCCTCGTGTTCAGATGGAATCTCCTTTCTTGTAGTTTGAAGCCATTGTTCCGCGTCCTTGTCTCTATGGAAGCAGTAAACAAGCTTGCTCCCTCCTCCCTGTGTCTTCCTCTCACATATTTATACATGGCTATCATGTCTCCTCTCAGCCTTCTCTTCTTCAGGCTAAACATGCCCAGCTCCTTAAGCCGCTCCTCATAGGGCTTGTTCTCCAGACCCTTGATCATTTTAGTCGCCCTCCTTTGGACACATTCCAGCTTGTCAATATCTCTCTTCAATTGTGGTGCCCAGAATTGGACACAATATTCCAGGTGTGGTCTAACCAAAGCAGAATAGAGCATGGGTAGCATGACTTCCCTAGATCTAGACACTAGGCTCCTATTGATGCAGGCCAAAATCCCATTGGCTTTTTTTGCCGCCACATCACATTGTTGGCTCATCTTTAACTTTGCATTTGGCGTCATGTTCTTCAGCTTCCCTCCTATATTAGAAAAAAGTTAATTATGTCTGCAATTCCCATCACCCAGCAACTCATATGGGGGATTCTGAGGGTTGTAGTCTCAAATACAGAATGGGTTTTCTGCCCTCTTGCAGAATTGAAGCATACGCTGCCTTGGCGTTAATGTCTTCAAAAAGGAAGTCATAATTAGTTTTTTTCTTTCAGCATCCGGGCGATAAAGAGATTGTCTACACTGACCTAAAATATCCAGAGGGATTACCAAGGGCCAAGACAAGCAGCCTACAAGAAAGTTCTGAATACGCCACTCTAAAGATATGACCGGCTGTTTCTGGATCCGGCACCGAAGAGAGAAAGGATGCTTCTCTGTCTTGATAGAGACAAACTGCAACAAAACCATGCAAGTGCATGAAGCCAGGAAAGAAAGGAGGCTGCAAATTCAAGAGGGAGTGGAATGTCCTGGCTGGAAGGAAAAGAAAGATCATGTCTCTCACTAGCCGTCCCTTGCCACGTGTTGCTGTGACCCAGTCTGGTGATCTGGAAAATAAAGTAACGAGAAAGTGTTGGTTTCTAATATGTGTTATTTCTTTGTGTTTGTGGGTAAACTGTATTTGATTACATTTTCTTGCTCTGCTGAAGGGAGTTGGACTGGATGGCCTTAAGTATTTCCTATTGGTCACAGGGGTTCTGTGTGGGAAGTTTGCTCCAATTCTGTCATTGGTGGGGTTCATTCAGAATGGTCTTTGATTGTAGGTGAACTATAAATCCCAGTAACTACAACTCCCAAATGTCAAGGTCTATTTCCCCCAAGTTCCATCTGTGTTCCTAGTTGGGCATATGAAGTATTTGTGCCAAATTTGGTCCAGATCCATCATTGTTTGAGTCCACAGTGCTCTCTCGATGTAGGTGTACTACAACTCCCAAACTCAACGTCAATGCCCACCAAACGCTTCTGGTATTTTCTGTTGGTCATGGGAATTCTTTGTGCCACTTTTGCTTCAATTCCATCATTGGTGGTGTCCAGAATGCTCTTTGATTGTACGTAGGTTAACTATAAATCCCAGCAACTACAACTCCCAAATAGCAAATTCATTTTTTGAGTGATGGTTACTCCTTGGGTTAGTAGGTGTCTTGTGGCCAAAGTTGGCGGCAATTGGCCCAGTGGTTTTTGAGTTATGTTAATCCCACAAACAAACATTAAAAATTTTAATTATATAGACTAGCCGTCCCCTGCCACACGTTGCTGTGGCCCACTCTGGTGATCTAGAAAATAAAGTAATGAGAAAGTGTTGGTTTCTAATATATGTAATTTCTTTATGCTTATGGGTAAACCGTGGGGTTGAGAATGCTCTTAGATTGTAGGTTAACTGTAAATACCAGTAACCACAACTCCCCAAATGTCAAGGTCTATTTCCCCCAATCTTTTCAGCTTGTGGCGCAGCTGGCTGAGTATCAGCTGCATTAAGATCACTCTGACCAAAAGGTCATGAGTTCGAAGCCAGCCCAGGTTGGAGTGGGTTTCCAACCAATTGTGTGTAGCCTGTTGTCGACCTTTGCAACCCGAAAGACAGTTGCATCTGTCAAGTAGGAAAATAAGGTACCACCTTAAAGTGTGGGGAGGCTAAATTAACTGATTTATGAGGCATAAAGAAGACTCCAGCAAAGCATTCCAACGGGGAAGCATGCAGGGAATGCGGAAGTGCTTCATCAGTGTCGCGGATGGACAATGAAAGCGACAGCTCCCCTGGCGGCCAGAAAAAGTTAAATAGCCTCTGTGTATGTCTGTATATGTTGTATGTTAAAATTGGCATTGAATCTCAGTTCTTGTGGGTTTTTTCGGGCTATATGGCCATGTTCTAGAGGCATTTCTCCTGACGTTTCGCCTGCATCTATGGCAAGCATCCTCAGAGGTGAGGTCTGCTGGAACTGGGGAAAAAGGGGTTTATATATCTGTGGAATGACCAGGGTGAGACAAAGGGCTTTTGTAAGTTGGGCTAGGTGTGAATCTTTCAACTGACCACCTTGATTAGCATACAATGGGCTGACTGTGCCTGGAGCAAACTCTTCTTGAAAAGTGATTAGATGTCCCTGCCTGTTTTTCTCTCTGCTGTTTTTGCTGTTGCAATTTTAGAATTTTTTAATACTGGTAGCCAGATTTTGTTCATTTTCATGGTTTCTTCCTTTCCAGGCACAGTCAGCCCATTGTATGCTAATCAAGGTGGTCAGTTGAAAGATTCACACCTAGCCCAACTTACAAAAGTCCTTTGTCTCACCCTGGTCATTCCACAGATATATAAACCCCTTTTTCCCAGTTCCAGCAGACCTCACCTCTGAGGATGCTTGCCATAGATGCAGGCGAAACGTCAGGAGAAATGCCTCTAGAACATGGCCATATAGCCCGAAAAAACCCACAAGAACTGAGTGATTCCAGCCATGAAAGCCTTCGACAATACATTGGCATTGAATGTTTGCCATATATGTGTACACTGTAATCCGCCCTTAGTAATAATAATAATAATAATAATAAATAATAATAATAATAAAATGTCCTGGTTTCTATCTCCTGTTCTCCCTTTGTCCACAGCTTACTTCAATCACTGCAAACTGAGTTCAAAGTGCAAAAGGAGTTTGCACTGAGAAGAGAGGGCAGGAAAGGGCAGAATCTCGCCTTTCCCTGTAGGCTCAGACAAAAGCAAACAGATGCAGCCTCTCCTGACTTGTGTTTTTCTCTTTGTCACTCGGCCACAAGCATCTGTGAAATGCTGAAGGGTATGGCTTTGACCGTTTTTGCAAGAATCCTGAAAGGCAGAGGCAATGGGGCAGGGAAATGATCAGAGAAAAGCTGAGTTTGGTTTCACTCCATTTCTTTCTCTCAGCCATCTTGCTGGGGGTCATTACACGGTCACTTACATGCTTACTGAGGAAAGAGTCCACTTTGATGAGTTTTGAGGGGGGGGGTGGCGAAAAGCTGAGTGTCTTTAAGAAAGCAAGCCCACAACAAGCTCTGCCAAGTCATCCGAAGCTAATTAATTTGATTACGAGGCAAGCAAAGCCACAGCAGCAAGAGGAGGAGGAGGAGGAAAGGGTGTCCCTAGAAAGCTGATGTGGGTGATGTATTTTCAGAAGCGAGTGCTGCAGATCGCATGACGCATCGCAGCAGAATCATGCTTCTAGCACAGCGAGTGCATTGAAGGGATGTGTTTCTTTTCTCTTCCTTGGCAGCAAAATCCCTGCAAAAAGGGATGTGCTGGCGGCAAATCCTGTTCCGTTCCCTATTCCCTCCTTTCCTCTTTCCTCCTTTTTTTGTAAAGGTTTTCTGTGGTCCCCAGTAGACTCTTTTTCAACCCAATTCTCAACATCAACAATGCGTTTTCTCCTCAGATGTTTTGCTAACAAGGTGGCCGAGTGGGGAGTGAGGGATGGAGCTTGGCAACTTTAGCCGATATGAGCTGGTGGCGCTGTGGCACTGTTGTGAGCACACAAGTGGACTCATAGGCTCCCTTCCACTGGATGAGAGTTGTTCCATGCCCAAAACACTATTGCAATGCTAGGCAAACCAATGGTGTCTTCTAGTGTTCAAAGCGAAGACACCTTGGGGCCCTCCTGCTCCTCTCCTGGTCGCCCCACTTCTTCTCAAAGCCCCCCTTTGGCGTCTTAATTGCATTAAAGCTGTCCTTGCGTAACATGGCTTCACAAGCTGCCTCCCTGGCCGGGAGCTCTTAATCATGCGCTCGGGGCCGGCAGGAGAGATCTCTTTGGCAGATGGCAAGGGAGGGCTGCTCTTTGCCCAGGAAGCCTCTTTCATTTGCAAAGAGGACCCAAGAGGAATTGCCCTGACACATCACACTCCTTGCCCTGGCAAAAAGGCAGGGCTGCACATTATGCGCTTCATGTGCATATCTCAACCAATCGCGCACAGATATCAACCGCCATCAGACATCCAGGTTGTGTGTTGTAAACCTCAGGTGAACAGTGATGCATTCATTGCGTGGTGCAACCTGTGTCATGAATGGCAAGGGTGTGCAATGGAATTGTTGCTATTTGCGGCCAAGTTGACTTCAACTGAAGATGACCTTCTGAATGAGAATGAATCATATAGTTGGAGGGAGTTACAGGAGCCATCTAATCTAACCAATTCTATCATGCAGGAAGACACATTCAGAATGGGGGACAATGCCTGGCTCGAGAGCAGTACGTGTGAAAAAGATATTGGAGTCCTCATGGACAACAAGTTAAACATGAGCCAACAATGTGATGTGGTGGCAAAAAAAGCCAATGGGATTTTGGCCTGCATCAATAGGAGCATAGTGTCTAGATCTAGGGAAGTCATGCTCCCATGCTCTATTCTGCCTTGGTTAGACCACACCTGGAATATTGTGTCCAATTCTGGGCACCACAATTGAAGAGAGATATTGACAAGCTGGAATGTGTCCAGAGGAGGGCGAATAAAATGATCAAGGGTCTGGAGAACAATCCCTATGAGGAGCGGTTTGAGGAGCTGGGCATGTTTAGCCTGAAGAAGAGAAGGCTGAGAGGAGATATGATAGCCATGTATAAATATGTGAGAGGAAGCCACAGGGAGGAGGGAGCAAGCTTGTTTTCTGCTTCCTTGGATGCGGAACAATGGCTTCAAACTACAAGAGAGGAGATTCCATCTGAACATGAGGAAGAACTTCCTGACTGTGAGAGCCGTTTCAGCAGTGGAACTCTCTGCCCCGGAGTGTGGTGGAGGCTCCTTCTTTGGAAGCTTTTAAACAGAGGCTGGATGGCCATCTGTCAGGGGTGATTTGAATGCAATATTCCTGCTTCTTGGCAGGGGGTTGGACTGGATGGCCCATGAGATCTCTTCCAACTCTTTGATTCTTTGATTCTATGATTCTATGATTCAAAGCACTCCCAACAGATGGCCATCAAGTCCTGGGAAGTCTGACTTGCCCACGGTGGTCCATACTCTTGTTACATCCCAAATAGATTACTGCAACATGTTCTACATGGGGTTGCCTTTGAAGACTGTTCAGAAGCTTCAAATGGTCCAACGGGCAGCAGCCAGGTTACTAAAAGGAGTGGTGCTCAGTGAACACACAACTCCTCTGTTACGTCAGCTCCACTGGCTGCCAGTTTGCTCCCAAGCACAATTCAAAGTGCTGGCTTTAGCCTATAAAGCCCTAAATGATTCTGGCCTAGCTTACCTGTCCGAACGTATCTCTATCTATGAACCATCGAGGAGCTTAAGATCGCCTGTGGAGGCCCTGGCCTCAATCCCACCTGCCTTGCAAGTGGGATTGGCAGAGACGAAGGACAGGACCTTCTCAGTGGTGGCTATGAAACTCCCTCCCCAGGGATATTAGATTGGCCCCCTCTCTCCTGGCTTTCCCCCCAAAAAGTAAAGACCTGGCTCTTTGAGCAAGCTTTTGAGAATGCAGCAGAATAGATAACATGGAACTATGAATGATGAACATGGAATGGCCAGACGATGTTACTGGATAACGTTTTTAACAGGACCACACTGATGATTATATGCTTTAATTGTTTTTATATAGGTTTTATATTGTAATGTTGATTGTTCTTAATGGC